CAGGGTGCAGAATAACTTATTCTTCACCCGAGGTAATCTTACGATCATTTCATAACTAAATTACGTTTGAAATTCAAATAGTTACATTCCTATTCATTCACTACGTAATATTTGACATAAGAAAATAAAAATATAGGTCACAAGACAAGAAAATTTGCGGTTTATGTGTATTTTACACTATATTTTTACGTTTGTAATTTTACATAACATAAAATATTTTTTACGACGATTGTATATTTTCTTACGGTCTCTTTTTATGTCGAAAATAAGCAAAACTTACGAAACGTAAAATTACGATGTATTGATGGTAAAATAGAGGGGGTAAAATAGACGGTCTATTCTGCTAATATTAGCAGAATAACTATTCTGCACACCATTTTGGCACTGCACGCTCAACAGAAGCGCACTGCATCATTTTGACGACGAGCACTGCAATAGAGACTAGTAAACTTCTTGTCGGAAAAAACTGCACGCGTTATTTTATCGGTACTGTTTTCGCTCTAATTTTTTAACCGTTTATCGGAATGAGGCATGTAATATACCATTGAAAAGCTATGGATTAGGCGCAACTTCGACATGTTGAACACTTTTCGAGATTCCACACGGTTTAAGAGCAGTTTTAAAAATAGTGCGGCGGATGACGAGTGGCAGCAAGCGTTTTTTCGCGTTATTTTCTAAACCGCTTATCGGAATGAAGCAAATGATACGCGGTTGGATAGATATCGTCGAGGCGCATCTTTTTCATATATAAATCTTTCTCTAATTCATTATGGTTTAAGAGCAGTTTCAAATTTACTAAATCGTGGAACTCTGTTTTTCAAAAAAATTCAAAATTTCGGTACTGTTTTCACTCTAGTTTTTGAACCGTTTGTCGAAACGAGGCGTATAATATGTAGTTGGAAAGCTATGGACAAGGCGCAACTTTCATATGTAGAAATGGTTTTGAGATTCTTTACGGGTTTAAGTTAATTTTTAAAATGGTGCGGCTGACGACGAGTGACAGCGGTCATTTTTCGCGAAATTTTTACAAACCGATTATCGAAACAATTGAAATGATATGCCGTTGGAAAGATATCGACGAGACGGAAGTTTTTCATGTAGAACACACTCTCTAATTCCTTATGGTTTAAGAGCAGTTTTAAAATTAATGAAATGCGGACACTCTGTTTTTTGCGACACCCAAATCGTCATGTGCACTGCATCAGACAGATGAGTGCACTGCTTCAGACTGAACACCGCACAGCATCTGACAGATTAAAAATTGTCATGCGTACGCGACGAACGAAATGCATTACATCAGACAGATGCGTGCACTGCTTCAGATTAAAAACCACACTTCATCGGACAGAACAAACGCACTGCATGATTTCTTTTTTGTGGGACATAATTTTTTTTCAAACAAGGTGGAGTGCACTTCATGTCAAGTGTTGGTGGACCGCCATACCCTCGAGACTACCGTGAACGGGCCGCGACACTATCGAAAATAAACCGCTTGAGCTTTTTCCAAACTCAATATTTTTTACGTGCATAGACCGGACGAGTAGACCGCAGGGACCGAGCAAGTGAACCACATGTAATGAGAAGTGAGCTGCTTTCCGAGGTGTTTTTGTTTCGGATCACCAAATGAACCAAGAAGGAGTTTTATGGCGAACTTCGAGAGAGAACAAAGTGAGCTTCTTTTGAGATGTTAACTGCACTGCATAATGCACTCATCAACTAGAAAAACGACACTTGAGTACCCCACTAGTTAACTGCACCGCATAATGCATATCCATTTTTCCAAAATGTAAATCAAAATGAACTGGACCAAAACAATACACCCATTTTTTATACTGTACAATACACACTTCACTGCAAAACTTAAGATTTCTATGGTTGCTAATGGTTCTAAACTTCTCATTTTTTGAAGTTGTTTGACCGTGGAGGGTAAACCCGTCACCCTCTCATGTGCCTCCATACTTCATCGACGACCCAACTGAGCTGCAACCGAGAGAACCTGCACTTGTGGCCATCAGGTGGAAACTAAACTCAACAAACACTAGGTGGGGGCGCCAGGTGAGGCATCTCAAAACGGAGGCAGATGTAGCCAGGAGGAGAGGTGTTCTGTACTGCATGCAAGCCATACTGCACTGCAGACTCAGGGACCAGCAGCACATAAAAAACTGAAAAATAACATGCATCAGGGGGGATGACAAACTACACATGCGCCATTTATGAGATGCATCGGGCGCTAAGGTCAACTGCACAACCGCGGTTTTTGTGGGACTGTATAGTTGTGGCCGACGGAGAGAGGTGGGGCGGCCGGCGTGGTGGAGCACGTGGGGGTCAGCAACGTCCGCACCTCGATCCCGTCTCCTGCAAGCACGACAGGGACAGCTCCGCCCGGATCCATCGACGGGGAGATGTGCATCGGGACGAGGGGGTGGGGGAGGGAAGCGGATTTGGGGTACCACGGCGGCGCTGGTTGAGGCCCGGCCTGGGGGCGGCGGGGCTGGATCCATCACACGGGAGGCGCCGGGAGGAAGGAGAGGGCACATCGGGGGTCGGCCACATCAGAGGCGTGCAACGCGCCCGTCGAGATGAAGCAACAGGGACGGGGAAGGTGGAGCCGGGGACTGGTGGAGGTCGCCGTCGTCGTTGCTGTCCAGGAGCCGCCGCCCTCCGCCGCTGTCCACCGAGAGGAGCGCAGGCAGTGGGGATCCCACCGGATCCGGTGCCAGGAGGGGTGCGGTGGTGGCCGTGGGGCAGGGGCGTCATGGCGGTGCGGGGTAGGTGTGTGGTGGTGGCCGCGCGAGAGGGCGGCGATGCGGCGCGCGTGGGAGAGGTTGGCGGCCCACCACGGCGGCGCGGGGAGGCAGGTGTGCGGCGCGGGGA